TATGGTTCTTTAGATGTGAAAAAGTGTGGATGTGGGTCATCTTGTCACCTGCATTCCACACTCACACCAACACTGTTGTTGTGCAACAAGAGACGAAAATTTGTCCACATTAGTTGGACGGTGCCTGTGTTGGACTGTTGAGGAATGAATGCAAGCGTAAACCACGCCCACATTCACCCATTCTTATCGATAGATATTCTAGATGCAATCGAATAGTTTTTGTATCTCTCCTGTTAAGCTCTCCATTTCTTTCAGACAAGTTGATATTTTCAAGAAAACTCGATTTCGAGATTTACATATAATGTGAGAGTTCTTGTAATACGCTTTAAACTGACTAGGATCTGTGTATGAGTATTCACTCATGTCTTGACTTACACTCAAACATCTACACACTGCTAATTTCTTAGGCAGAAGTTATTAAGGGTTTTTAAAATAAATTAACAATGATATTGCCTTATCAGAAAAATAAATAACAATATAAATATTATGATAAAAATATTAGAATAAAAGAAAAATGCATATTATTTTTTGAGTTCGGCTTATCCTATGTGACGTGACGGTGTGACTTAAGGTGTCATGAGACTAAATCTGTTAATCGAGCAGTTTGCTCATGAATGACTTCGATTAGATTATGTGTTTCTTCTCACAAAAGATTTTCAAGTTTGTCAAAGTTTCTTTTAATGATCGTATATTTTCGTGTGCATGTTCAAATATATATATATTTTTTTTTTATCTCTGCACCATTCTATTTAACTTCTTTAGTTATTTGCATGGAAAAGTTCATTCAATCATTATTCTTTGTTTGATAGTGTCATTTTTGTTCTTCAGTCAAAGCTGTAACTGATTCTTTTTTTAACGTCTTTTCATTTCTATTTATGCACTGTTTGACATATCATTTCGGCAACTTATTTCAATTTTTTTGAATAGTAAATTAGCATTTAAAATAGCTGCTAGATAGGAAATATAAAAGAATGCCTAATTACGAGTACATTTTCCGTCGTTCAGCTTGTTATTTCGAGTAAGATATCATTAACAAATCTATATATTTATACATTTAAAAAAGAATCTGTGGCTATGTGTTTTTGCATTGATTCATAGAAAAAATGCAACACAAAGCGCAAAGGAGATGAAGATCAAGTCAAGTAGTATAAACTCGCTGACGAATATAGGCATGATTTTTCATGATTTAATAGACATCAAACGATGTTATCTTTATTTAACTAATATTAATCAAATCAATGAATAGTTTTGATTTCTTTTACGAAAGAAAATATTTAATTTCGAATATGTGTTAATATTCATCTAAATAAATGAAAATTCTAACATTTTTAAAAAATAACATGAATAGTAGTATCTTTTGCACGTTGTCGATACCAAAATAAAAAAATGCAAACTTATACGAAACACTTCTATTCAAATACTATCTGTTAAAAATGCAAGAATCTTCGTTTATGTAAGTAAATATTTTTCTACCGTAAAAAAAATAAAAACTATTCATTGATTCGATTAAATATTGGCAATTATTGATTACAGACTTTTTTATTCTAGCAAACTTATTTTTTCTTATTTTTCTTTTAATACTTTTGTCGATTGTTCATAGATAATGTGTATGTCTTATATTTAAATAACTCTGAATACCTATACTTTAGAATATAAATTTTATGATAAATAATGATCTATAATATTGACGATGAATAATGGAAGATAAAGAATCTAACGTGATATCTAATAAGAGTTTAGTTTTTAGAAGTGAACCGATGAATTAGTACGAAAACGAATAATTCTCGGCAAGCAAAAGTTACAGATAAGACATATTGATACCTCTATGCATTTTCTCAAATAAAAAAAAATGAAAACTCTACATTACTCAAGTACTTCTAAGATCTACTCATTGTTTTGCAGTCATCTGCTCGAAATAAATTAAGAAAATTATTTTAAAATGTAATTATACGACGAACCTTTTACTTCCCACAATCTTATCTTTCTCTTTGGAATACCTCGATATGAATAATGTATGTGCGCTTTACCTTTCATACAGTCACAAAACTCTTGACAACCATGTGAACTTTTCAAAACATTTTCATCAAATAATTGATTCAATATATTACTTAAATGTATACTTCCTTTCTTTTCTTCTCGTCTCTTCTTTTCTCTAATATAACTAAAAATAGTTCTTACCTATATGATCACTGACTAACACATCACATTGATTGATTTCTATTAGATACTTTTTTTTTATGAAAAAAAAAATTATTTTATATAAATATAAGTACAGCTAACTTCTTTTTTCTTTAAAATAAATTATCAAATAATAAAGGAAACAACCACAGTTTTTTAAAAAGAAAAAAAGAAATATTACCACTTTTTTGTGTTTATAGCAGTTTTTACTAAAAAAATCATGATTTTAAATATTTATCATGATTCTTCACATAGTAGATACTGATTTATAAAAACGTTTAAACGCTCATGTTATATAGTAAACTGTTTGAAAGGTGAGTGAAGCGTAAAAACGAAAAAGAAAGTGCAATGTAACTGTTAAAATGGTATTTTGGTGTATACGTCTATGAGAGTATTTATACATGCATGTAGAAAGAAGAGAGAAGAACAGAAAGAGAAAATTGACGATGCAGAGAGCAATCACTCCTATCGATAAGTGTATGATCGGTGAATTCGTCACAAGCATATTTTATGAATGTTGAGCTCATTTTAATTTTTCTTCTGTATTTTCGTATAGAGAAAGTTGTGTAGACATAGCAGATACATAGATTAAAGAGTAAAACCTATGTGGCCATTCGAAACTCATTGTACTCAATTGAAATTCTTATTAAGAGGTTACCTAATCAATAAAATAATAAAAGTCTTGCCTAGGAATTGCATGACGGATATGGTTTTTATTTTCTTTTAGTAATAGTTTCGATTGATAGTAGTAAGTTTTGAAGGCCAAGTTAGATATTAGAAATACATATTATTCTATGTTTATTCAACTTTAAATATTCGAAAAATATAAAAAGAACTATTCTAAATTACTTGAAATTAACGAAACGAATTATATATCTATTTCTTTACAGAGCTTACAGTACTCATGTAAGTGACCTTCTTTAGGTTACGTTACATGACGCTAAATGTTCAATTTTTTTAATGTATTGTATCTATAGAGAGAATATCATACTCCTTCGATGTGGATTACTCTAAATGAATACAATTTTATCATCATGTTGTTACAAATGAGTTTAATTCTGATTTCTAAGAACTTAAATTAAATTCAAGAGTCACAATAATGATATTGATTCTTATAAATCAAAATAAAACTAATAATTCGTCTGCTAGAATATGATGAAAAGATTGAATTATTATAAAAATTCATCTAAATAATATCTTGAGTAACTAAGCTCTATGTAATATGATTATTTTCTGAAGAAATAAACTCAATTTAATAACAGAAGGCGTAAAAATAAACTTAGGAAAACATAAAAGTCTGCAGTTTTGATGATCTTATTTTTCTTGAAACATCAATGTTTTTTTTTGTTTGCTTGACTGAATTTTACAGTATCAGACAAATAGATGTCTGAATTTCTCTTTCAATGACTCAAAAACATAGACTACTATCTATTACCTTATTAAACTCAAATACACTGTTTGTTAGTTCTGGAGTAGATATTAGCTGTTATTGATTTCACCGTCAAAGTATACAATGGTACATACTGGTAGATAGATGTTTTTTGTTAATAAAATATTGATTATTTCAACTGCTTGTTTACTTTTTCAAAGAATATTTGGCAATCATCATGTACTAGGATGTTCATAGATAACGAACTCATGCTTATTTTTAAGAAATGCAAGATTCATCTTTCGAGTTTTTACATCAAAATATATTTTTTAAATTAAAATTATTTTAATAACTTATTTTTACTAATTTATTTGTGTTTAGGTACTTCATACGAAATATTTACAATTGTTTTTTAGTGTTAATTTAAATACAAAAATAAATGTGGAAACATCGAATTTAAATCCGAGTGTTACGTGTACTTCAAAAAGTGAACTGGGCAGATGAGTCATCCTAGCACGTGTATGCCTCAAAATTATCCTAGCGAGCTCCTTCTATTAAAACTTGATTTGTATCGGTTACTGCTCAACCAATAGGGTTTCGAAGCAAATATAACTCAGATGTAAACTCTTTGTCGTGCATTACTCTCAGAAAGTCGTTTTTCCTAAAACTTGGTTTCTATTGGTTACTATTCAATCAATAGGATTTCGAGACAAATGGAGCTCAGATTCGAGTTCTCCGCTCTAGAAAACCACGAACTATCATCTCTGTGATCGGAAGATGGAGCTTTGCTTTTCGATCAATTGGAACATGGACAAAAACAGAACCAATTTCCGTTTAAGTATCTTTGCAATAGGTGACTTAGCCTTCTTGTTTCTTAATGTTTTATATACCATTTTATAGCTCGTGAAATTCTCTATCAAATGGTATATAATGGTTTGGGGTTTTGTTTGATTATGAGAGGAAAAGTTTTTTACGAAAAGCGGGATAGGTCAATGTTCGCATAGAAAAGCATAGGGAATAATGACTCTTTTTCCGATAACTCAGCAATGGCTCGACGAATCATTCTCATCTTTGAATTCGACCGAGATATTGATGAGACGAAACTCTGTAGAAAATTTCATCGCGATCGGACTCTCCTTTCGAAAGTTATCGTGTAAACAGCCGGACACACTAACCGATTCTATTGTGTACACAAAAACCTTTGAAGAACATTGAAAAACTATCAACTTCTCTCTATCACAAGATAAAGAATTTCGCGGAAAAAAATGTTGAAACCTTCTTTTAGCCTATAGAGCATTAAAAGGTTTTGCATTTAAAGTTAGAAATAAGTTTCATTTTACAATGTTTAAAAATACTTGACCTACACAAAAACAATCGTGTCTCATCGATGATAATTCGCTTTCAGTCTGAATATATCTAAATTATTCTTATAGGATCGCTTAACACTGGCAACATGAATGATGCACGATATCAACACACAGCATTCGTATTAACAAATGAAAAAATACTAGTTAGTGACGGATTTGCTGATAAAGATCTCAATAATAGTGAGTTATATGCACCATCAGCAGGAATTTGGACAATGGCTGGTAACATGAATATTGCTCGAAGTAGACACAGATCTTTGGTAACATGAATATTGCTCGAAGTAGACACAGATCTTTGGTATTATCAGATGGAAGAGTGTTACTTATTGGAGGTTACATTGGTACTCCTCAGAATAGTTCAGAAGTATATTAATCATCTTAAACAAATAAACGATTAATAATTTTATGTTTACAGTTTCATACAATCTTGCATTTGAAAAGATCTAAATGACAGTGCATGTTTTGCTTCAATGTCTTTTCGTCTTGTCATTCAATGGGAAATTCAATTTTAAATTTAATAATACTTTTGTTTTTTTTTTGTATTTTGGTGTGCTAAGCTTATTGTTGTGGAAAAGTTTCAGTTCATTTTCAGTGCAAAATTCGACTTCTTTTATATTAATGAACAATTTTCTATGAATATTTCTAGCTACAATGATGGACTGAACTTTTCCTTTGTTCATAAAAGTTGTAAAAGATACTCCTTTGATGTAAAAAGGAGAAATCAGACTTTAATGTTCCTAATATTTTTGTAACAGTAAGCTACTTCTTTTTACATTCGAATAAGTAAACCATGATATAAATTATGTAGTACGGTATTTTCGTCAAAATGTAGTTATTTGAAAGAGGAACTGTAAGAAGTGCGTGCATTAGCTAAGAGTACAATTTCTTAATTATCAATTAGATGATTATATTTTTGCCATCAACATTTGAGCTAGAAGTGTGCATCTCCATGTGTCATCTCAAAAGAGTAAATGATAACTAAATTACGAATTGAGCTATTGAATGAGGATATCTCTAGCAAATATATAACAGCCATAATAAGCAGGATGTTTAAGGCTTTTACAAAATGAGATTCATCTAAACAGGGCTTGCAATGAAAATCTAAAACATAATATTCATGTACACCTTGTTGATGTGACCAAAGTGTGTGTTTACACTTCATTTTCGTCAACAAAATGTATAAAAGTGTACGAAAACTGAATTTTTTTACAACCGAGAAAATAAAATATAATGTTCATATTTTTTCTTTAGTGAGAAATATAAATTGATGTTAAACAAGTAAGTCAGTGATAAATATGGGTATAATATCATCATTTGATGTGTTCACAAAGAAAACTGAGAAAAGAAAAACACAAATGTATACAAGAAAGATAAAAGAATTGGTAAATACTAGTGCTTTTTATCGATTACCACCAAAAAATAAATAAATCTAAAATGGCAATAATAACAAAACATCTATATCAACATTTCAATAATAAACAAAGTGTGGCATCAAAATTCGAACTAATTACTTATGTCTCGTTCAAGTTGCAATAAAGAAAAGTAATGCATGCAAACATCGAGAAAAAAGAGAATAGGGTATGGATGTGGGTGTTGTTAAGTGATGGTTGATAGATTGGTCTTTCTCTTGGTGATACATACTCTTAGTAAAAAGATCGTTATTAACACAAACAGAAATTGCGAACAAAAAAACCTTAGAAAATTGTCAACTAGTAAAAACAATGAATAACACTACCGCGTTGCTCATGCAGTACAAGTTGAACAATGAAGTTAATCAAGTTTCTATCTATCTTGATTCAATCACAATATCATTGACAATAATTATGAATAGAATCAATATTGGAGTGCTCTCTCGTTAAACTCTTTAATTATGTTCGCGCACTTATTATATTCTTGCTATGTTTTACACGATTCGGATGTCGAATTTTATCTTTTTTCTATTTATTTGTTGACATTATTTATTACATCGATACTAGTATTTGCTTCAGCTGATTAGTTTTTTTGCCAGTTCATTTTCCCTACGCTTGCATAATTTCAGCCAATCACGTATGGTACAAAAAAAAGCCATTCACATTTTTGAAATTTTAGATGTTTTTCTATTCAAATCCATTTTCAGTTATCTTCTATATGGATTATATGACTAATTGATGCTTGCAATTGTCAAGAACAATTGCTATTGTTGTCAAGCAAACAAATCGCTGGTTTATTCTACTATTAGTTCATAGTTCATTGGGTTTGTTACAATAGAAAAATAAGGTAAACTCGCAAAAAAACACGTTTTTTGATTGTTAGTATATATTGCTTATGATAGTAACACATACAATTACTACTTTCTCTCTTTCTCTTGAGCATTGTGAACCATTCCTTCGCAGCCGACCATGTTGCCTATTTTCTTCTCTGTAGTGCTACTGATGACTGGACAATCGCTTGTTCCTTGATTTGCTGTTCTCATTTTTTCAGTCGCTTCTTGTTTATCATGTGCACCCGAATCTTTCCAAGCTTGACTACCTGTAACATTGCCAATTGTTTCTTCAACCGCTCCTTTCACGTATTGAGCATGTCCACCTAAAAGACTTGCATTGTTGTTGTCAGCCATTAATACAGTCAATTCAACGTCGATAGTGTATACAGTATAAGTAAAAATGTGAGAATGAAAATGCAAATTATATAAGATACAAAGAAGAAAAGACGAGTGAGAGTGCACACAGTAGAAAACAGAACGAAAAAGATAGGATGGCAAAAAGAATCCGTATATTGATTTGACGTCGACACGAGAAAATAAGTACAGAATGTATCATACAGAGCATCTACAGACATCATGTTGTAAGCTAAAAAAAACATGCGTACTACTCTTTCTCATTTCTAATAACAGAAATTGTCCAGATTGTACGAGGCTAAAGAGTCCTACCACCGAATAAAATATCATTGTATATATGTTTGTTTTCACGTGTTCAGGCACGTGTGTACATTTTATTGTAAAGATTCCAAACAGTTATTTGAAGAGACGATGTTTCATAATGATAATTCTTGATCAAGATTAGCCATCTACACGTTTTAATAAACCTATAAAATTACCATTACATAAGATGTGGTTAGCCACTCTTGTCGAAAATAGATGTCAACAAAACGTTCAAGAACAAAAAATTGTAAGAGCTTCTACACATTCTTCTTTGAATAATATTTTATGTCAGAATCTTAAAAACATCATAGTATAATCGTATTCAAAACTCTTCATTAAAGTTCATCATTAGCATTGAAAAAAATTCAAGTCTTATCATCCATGTTCATTCCATATATATATTTATTTATGGCTTGACACATATTATTTAGCAAAAAAATATTTTAAATTACGTCATTTTCTTCGAAATGAGGATAAAAGTAGATGTAATTATAATACATATTTACAACTTCAACTATGTATACAATTAAAGATGTTAGATTACTCACACTAGATAGAATATATAAAAAAATCGATCATTTATCTTGTGAAAAATAAAATGAAATAGCGCTAGAAAAGGACAAAGAGTAATTTATTTTACGCGAAAAAAATAGTAGAAACGAAGTATAAGATTATAAAATTGCCAAACAGTAATATTATATATGGTTTATAATTATTATTGATGTTATAATTTATCATACCTTATCGTTTAATATTTCATAGCTATCAAGCATACAATATGTATTGATGCTTTTTTTTCTCCGTCTTTATATTGTTGGACATTCATTTTTTCAAATAAGCACTATTTGTTTAATGTTTTTCATGACTCTATATTTTTCTTAATAGCGAACTGTATCGTATGATCTAGCACATAAAAATATAGTATTGTTTCAAACTATGTATTATTATGTTTCAATATATTATTAGACTCTGATTGTCATACTACTTAGTTATATTGTTTGTGGACATTAGCAGGGCATTGAGTACAAGTCTTTCCAAGTGAATAGATAAAGAAAATAAATGATTGAAAATAAATAAATTATGTTATTCATCTACTCTATTAAGTCATTATTTTTGTTTCTTATTTCAAATTTTAGGTAAATATGGTATTCTATTTGATTCATATTGCTTATTTAAAACATAAAGAATATCGACGTAGAGTATACTAAAACTCAGATATACTCATTTGATAATCATACAGCTACATTACTTGTACGAACAAATTCAATTGGTGCACTTGCTGTTCGTCTTGTTTAAAAATATCTGATAACAAAATCAATGAATTATTGTTCATAATATTTTTTTTTATGAAAGATCTGTATTTTCCATAGAGTTAACACTATCTTCTTCCTGGACATGTGAAATGAATAAAGCAAGAGCATAGACAAATGTAAGGTTTAAAGAGAAGAGAAAAAAATTCAGTTACAGGTGCGTGATTTTGTTAAAGAAAGATGGAAATACATTGTTTTATTGCATATATCACACATTGCTAAAAAACATTATAAGGTATATAGACTCTTGTATAGAAATCTTTCTAACACAGAATAGGATTTCTTGAAAATTTCACGTTAACATTCATGTATATAGAAAAATATGAAGAGATACAAAATCACATGGTATGTCCTTGCCGTCAAACGATTAGAAAAAAAATACTTTTTTTTCTAAATTCCGTTCACTTAAAATAACCTCGGTTTGGAGATGTGGTAATGATACAGGTTTTTCCAAGTCTGTTGATAATCTAAAGCTGGGGGAGTTGTATTTAAATGTTTTTCAAAACTCTTATGTAGTGTTTATATAAGTAGTTTATAAGTGATTTCTCCTGAGATAGTCCAAATACCGTGCAATCATTCCATTCCAAGAGTGCATAAACAATATGGAGATCTGATGCATACAGATGTTTTAATTTCTTCTGTTGATTTTCTGTAAAATAAAACCATGTTTTGAAAAGCGAAATGAAATGTAGAAACATACAAACGCAAAACAGATGCCTACGAATATCAATTAGTTTTATTGAAATTTTTCGAAAAAGTCTCTGATTTATTAACCAAAGAAGAAGAATTCCAATATTATGGTTTCGTTAGAGGAGTTGAAAGATACAAAACAACAAATATCAAATGAAATGTTTTATTTAGTTAATTGTGAGCATTGAAAAGTTGTTTATTGTAAAAATTGAAAAAAAAATCACGACTAAGACGATCACACACGCAAATAAAATTAATTTTTTTTCAAGTTGATTTATATTTAGAAAGAAGATAATCTTATTGTTTTTATTCAAAAATTGGTGCAGATGGATGCTTATGGGTATGTAGACGTGATTTTAAGCAGTGCCCGCGCGAATGACCTAATATTAGGGAAATGTAAAGGAATGTTTTCAGAAAAAACATGCAAGAAAATCGTAATATTTAGGTTGAAATCGGCTCTTGTGGCTGGAGAAAACTGAAAATTTTTGATTATTGGGGGGGGGGGGGGGAGTGTACACTTCCCTACACACCCTGCTCGCACGGGACCTGGTTTTAAGTACCATTTTACCTTCTGTTTACATCCACAACCACCCATACTCAGATCAACACCCACATCCATTCTAACCTTCATGCTCAACAATCTGAAACCTTTAGCTTCGTTCTTGTTTATTATGAAATAGTATACAGTTAAAATTGATTGTTATTACACAACCAATATGTACAAAAAAACTGAAAACAAATCAAATCACTCAAATGTTGTTATGATGAGAAAGATAAAACAAAAATCAATGTAATATAGAATGCAACAATAAATAATGATTTCTCAATTATTAATTTGCACAATGAAACTCTCTATTATCATATTCGTTATCTATGAAGTTTATAATAGTTTGATTAAGACTCTTTTTCTTCATTATTTCGTTTCAAGTAGATTAAAATTTTAGCTAAGCACTGTCCTGACCATGTGTTCATATAATATTCGATTATATACACTTTCGATGGATAAACAAAGAGTAACCATGTATTAACAGTCGGTATGCCATTCAGTTTTTCTATTAAGGATTTTATAATGAATTCTCCAGTTGAAATACCACATTGAAAGTATGAATGTTTAGGATTACTTGTACTGCAGACAATTGTATAGGAAATGTAGCCGACGGCATAAACAATCGGTGGTACGAAAATGAATAAATGCGTGTATAATAGTTTGAGAAATGTTTTTATAAATGAACCATTCTCTGTGCTGTATCGACGTATACAACGTGCGAAACTAACTAAGACCAACAGAGTTGCTAATACATAAACTGTTACCCCTCCTATAATGTAAAAATAAATGAAACAAATACGCACAGTCTGTAAACTGGGTATATTATTCCAGTCACATTGGTACACGAGCATTAGTGTAGCAGAGCCAGCAGCTATTCCAAAGATAAATATGATAGTAACATTTCGTTATTCATTAAGTACTTCGCGTACAAAAATTCCGATTTTCAACTCCCCCCATTCACTTTTTTATGGGAACGTTCGACCAACACTTTTCGCAACATTAACAATTTAAGTTCGTCTCATATAGTTTATCTATGCCTCTTCATAAAAAAAAACAATTATAAATTTGCATTCTATACGCGAGTAAAACCGCTATTAATTATGGAGGTGCTCTGTGAAATTTTTAAAAGGTTTCGATAGGTTCAAATCTAAAATAAAAATGTTTTAAATTAGGCTTCTATCACTGAAATTTTCATATGGGAGAGACCAGAAAATTCATTTGAAAGCGCTGAAATTCCCAACTATAAACACTTTTAAGCGAAAAATAACGGGTAGACCATTAATAACAAGACCTTTTTGTATTTTCGTCATTTTTCATTGTTGAGACATAATATTTTCTTCAAAATATTCCTCGTTCAATTCTCTACAAAACTGCAAAAGAGACTTGACAATAAAATATCATGCTGAAAATTCTGAGAAAATGATTACGGGACATGAATGCAATGCATTTTCAAGGAATTAATAGACCTTTTTCTTGATCTAACAAACGATTAACTGAACTAGAGCAAATTTTTCTGTATTGTCGAGTGTTTCTTTTGTCATTGCACCCAATAAACTGTGCTCAAATAAAGTCACAATGTACACAAGATTCGTCATATCAAGATGAAATAGATAGCAATGATAAGATTATGATATCATTGCATGAGTTTTAGAACGTCAGGTCAAAGTTTGTAGAAAAAAACTCATTGAGACTGAAAAAAACTATATAACTTTTCCAGTGTAGTTCAAATAAAAAAGAAACCTGTGATACTAGTACAACAAAAAGATTTTGAAGACCTGCAAAATAGCATATTTGGTTTATTGATAATAAGTTGTTTTGGTTCTTGAAAAAGGGACGCAATAAAAAATCTGTTTGAAAATGTACCACATTCGTGTCTCGAAATCTTTTTCTTAGAATTTTTCAGTATGGAGCTCTACAGTAAAGCTTCTTATACAGTTTTGGAGAGATTTGAACGAGTAACCGTTTTGGAAACAGACTACGTTTCAGCGATGAAAAATGAGAGAAATATCGGGAAAATATAGCAGATCCCATTATTTATGACCTACCTTTTCTCAGATCCTGTCCCGAAACAAAGAGGGCTTTTTCACAAAAAGAAGATTTTGCTGTTTTGACAAGAACGAACATATGTTTTGTTCTGCGTGGTGGGTGACTTCTTTTTGACATTACAGTAAGTCAATCTGCGATCGTAGGAGTTCATTTACTGACTAAACTCCAGGTTACAGATAGGAAGGCGAAAACTCGTCATTTTTCGTCACTACTCATGTTGATCCCTTGAAGCAACTGTGCACTTTTCAAAAAATATTTTTTCCAAAAAAGAATTGTACGTTCAGTTAACTATGCTGGAGCCTCTCATCCTCCACCTTTCCTCGCCCCCTCCCCTCTCTCTACTTATTCCTGTTAGATAGGATTTACTTAATGAATAATACTTAAAGGATCGCCATCGAGTAGCATTTGTTCTACTGCCAAACCATACGATTAAATCACGTTCAAATAACACAAGCACTGAGCCATATACAGCTATAGATAAGCGTAGTGTAACGAATTTTGCTAAAATAAGAATCATACGCGAAATATTGGCTTAGATCGATCCTCATTTGATCTGCATAGTAATCTAAAGCTTGATAACCTACTAGTATACTACTAGATAGAATTGAAAGAAGGGAATAGGTGATTAAATAGATACACAGTTCGTGGGACGAATTCGTCTACAGCCAATGAATACTTCCTGATTAAGAATATTATTCAAAACTGAAAAACACAGTCCAATTGTAAACAGAACTAAGTAGATGAAGTCTGTATTGAACTGTGACTTTTCTCAAACATCATTTGCACAGAAGGATCCTTCATAACATGGATCACATTGATAATAAGTCGTATTTAACGTAATATTTACAGCACACTGATCATTGTCACGACAATCTAAGGGATTGTGATGACAAATATCGACCATGACTTGAGCTACTAACGGAAAAAGAGAAATACAAGTATAATGATATGAGTAAGAGAACTGATCTTGCATATATCAACAACCTTCTTTGCAAAATGTAAAATAAAAATTGTTTATCTGTTATTTATTTTTTCCTTCTTCAGCCTTCTAGACTAGCCAAACACATTAATCTTGAATAAAAAGAGAAAAATAGACACAAAATGGCCGAAGGTGTATAATATCACTAAGAAATCAAGCCAAAATAGAAGTACAATCAGGCACCATCAAATTTACTATTGAAATCTAGTCAGACATATGTGGATGAAGAGCTGAATAATTTGGTAACATTTCCAAATGAAATAATTAGAAGAACCCTTCAAGTGTCATAAAAACGATCTTTGCAGATGGACAGAAATCTGCCCACTGGATAACGATAACGTAGACTACATGAGCTTGCGCACTCATCAATATGGAAGAAGAAATTAAACTGTACAAATCTACTTGTTTAACAATCAAACTATCGCTTTTTTCGATGAATTTTCTTCCAGCACCCTTTGTTCATGCTGCCTCTATGATGTGTGGCTAATTGCAACTCTATAGTGTTAGTTTTAGTGCCAATAGTAATTTTCTGACTGAGAAATCTGCTAAATACCAGTCAAAACGATATTAAACTAGGTCTAGAAAATGGTGTAAATCAGGTGGCCATTATTCATTGAGTTTAAAAAAATATATGCTTTGATAGCTTTCGAAAAGCATTATCGATTAGTATATACAGATTTATTCAAGCATAAGTCCCTACGTCTCTATCAGTCTACAAGCCAATGAAGCAACGAATAGAGCACACTAGTCAAGTTGTTCAATAAGCTTTTTCTTACAGTGATTCATAGAGGTTTTAATGACTTATTCGAACACTCGAACTCAAAAATAGAAGCAATATTGTTGCACAAAGTTATGAAAAAGGTACTGCACAATATCGATGACAATTTAAACAATGGTAAACTAAGAGTAGTGTTTTTTCGCATATTATTATAGACATCATTACAACGATTTGAAATGATTTTCTACATCGAACTATACATAGATTTCAATAGAACAAAAAACAATAGATTGTTGTCTTATGCGTTCGTTTACTTTTTAGAAGAAATAACAACGACAAACATTTTCTTTAACGCCAATCCGATCACCTCAATTCCGCTCTTCCAAAAAAAGAAACAAGTGCTTCAAAGATATTAGTTTCTTTCAGCTACATAAAAAATCGATTACTAAAATGAAGTGCATGAATTCGAAAGAAAATATATCGTCAATGGTGCTATTAATATAGCGCCAGTATCGCTCTTCATCAAGAGTGTGTCAATAATCGAGAGCAAAATCAACACCTTGCATTACCTATAAACAGTATGTAGTCAAATTGCATTAGTATCATTTTCTGCGTTGTTGACTTTGGGTTTTTTCCGAGTTACCGTATCATACTTATCGACAAAAAAATCAATTCATATAGGTAGTAAACAGTATGATGATTCAGTGAAGTATACATTGAATAAATAAAATCCATCCTGTATACCTAGGTATGGCACTTTATCTTCATTTTAATTGGACAAAATAAAGTTGAGTTAGTTTACTTTGCCATTAATAGAGTGTGTGAATCAGAATGAACTTCCTAAATTGATTCTATATTCTACTCTCAAAATTTTCGAAGTATATAAAATTATTATAGTCCTAGGAATCCACGTAAATATTTATTTCTTCCATAGGTTTAGAGTTATTCATAAAATACAACCAGTAAAACCTGATCTCCAACTCATTTTATTTTCGTTTTTGTTGAGCTATCTTGTTTTCCTTTGAAACACAGAACTACTGTGTCAATCAGGAATTTCAATCAAAGTCATAATAAAGCAAATGGAATTTGAGTCACTAAACAAACGTAGTACAACAAGGGTTTCACCACGTTAAGTAAATAAAGTAGCGAGGATCTTCTTGCATTATCTATAAACCGATCATCAATAAAGTTTAATTCTTCGAAGTTGACACTAGTGACAGTTGCAGTCAAAACTCTTAACGAACATACATTTATAACTGCTTATCTGATAGCTTGCGTGTCAGACTTCATTGAACTCTCTTTCCTTCGTTATAGAAAGCTATCATTTTTTGCCGAATATTCTTCTTTATAGACACTTCTTAATCTGAGATAAGACTGTTTCAAGTGCCTGTAAAGCTACTATGTGGCTGTGGAATTATCAAAGGAAGAAAATGACTTTATGGAACTGGTTATCAAAATTTTGGAGTTGGTTAGTAACAATGTACCATGCTTTTAGAAGAAATAGAATGGTCTCAGAATTACCATTGAATCATACAACATCTAACACATCATCTGAATCGAATTGGAAAAACTTACGCATGGAAATCTATTCCGTTGGTGTTTACGATCTTCACAATGTTCTACGTCGACGGAACATATTAGACTGGTGCGAATGGCACTTAACTATTGATGAAAATGATAATGCTATAAAAATAGCAAAAGAGTTTCATCAGGAATTTGAAAAATCAAGATTATCTTCGAATCTAGCTGGTAAAATCGATACGATAGAGAAAACATTTTTAAACTTCATGCCTCATGATAATGATTGGAATAAGATTAGAAAATGTTTTCAAGATGTCCGTCAAGAAGATAGTCCGTTACCGATTATCAAGGCCTACACCTTGGCTCAAGATCTCACTGTTCGTCTAAATAAACATTCAGCTGTAAATACGTATCATGCATTAAAACTCTACTGTACGTTATTGAACTGTCCGATTTTGGCACAAACACAAGAGTATACAGAAGCTATTACTAGTCTCTTTTTTCATCCAAAGTTAGATGAATTCCTTGTTCGAAATATAACAGTTCATCGTGGCATATTTCTTAAGGATAAAAAACTTATAGCTGATTATAGTCAAGGTGCTACAATTATAACGACTACATTTCTATCAACAACTACAGATCCTGTGGTAGCGGAATGCTTTTGTGCAGTTCCTCCTGAAGACATGATATCGATATCAGTGTTTTGCACGTATAATATTAATAATACTCACCGTCGTACAGCTCTTCGTCTGAAAGAAGCCACCAATTTTGAAGATGAGCAGGAAGTATTGATTTTACGCTATATACCATTTACAATTAAATCGATTGAACGAACGAACGATGGTCGAAAAATAAGAATATGCTTTGATGAATGTAAGGACTAGTGCAACAAGTGAACAAATTGTAAAAAAACATTTATCTGTAAGATATAACCCATCACATCTGTCTAACACAGTACATTACGTCTGAAAACTATAGTGTCACCTCGGCATTTTGGAACTCAAAAAAGAAAAATGCGTTGTTTTTTTTCTGATTGCCTCTTTACTGTTTGTCTTGAAGTTTATGTATCTTTTTTGTTCATTCGCTATTTCTCGATTTTTTAAAGCTTTAAACTGAGCTGAACACCAGGGCACGGGTGTAAGTGTGACTGAAGGAAAGACCCACAACCTACACCCACATTTGTAATTTGATTTGTGTTTGATACGAAAAGGAAAGTTTCACTTTATTGAATTAAGATAGAAAGTGTTTCGTTGATTAATTTAGAATTGAAAGTCAAGGTATGCATATGAAGTTTAATACGACTTTCGTCAAAGCTATAGGAAAGAGTAAGTTTTGTGGCATTGCGAAAATAATTAACACAATTTCCAATCGTGTATTCATTTTAGATTTTAACATGACCTATGAAATCTGTATTATTCTGTTGCTCAAGTGAACAAATAGTTTCGACCATCGAAAAGGTGTTGAAGTATACTGGGTAGAAATTAGGACGCCGTTTCACAGGCTGTGACGAACATTTTATTTCACTAAATAATTTAAAGCTAATTGATGACTCATTGAATAAATAATTTTTGAATAATTAATGAGAGGAGTGTTGAAGGAAATAATGAGAAAAATAAAGCACTCTCCTGTTTTACTGCCCATAGACCATGAGAGACAGTCTAGAATCCCCATCGTCGACCGTGCAGTACACTCTTGACATAGGAGCAAAGACTGTATATCAATAACCTCTTATTATAATATATGAACTATTTTCTGATTTCAGTTGTGGACTAATCAGTAACAGGATAGTTTAAAAATGTGCTGGAAAGCATATCGGTTTAAACAATATCCTTGTAATTGCCAAGAGTAGGTACATTTTCTTTCATATTTTAACTGTGCAGGGAATAAACTAGCAGCTTTTCTATTTGTACGGATTCATTAAGTAGAAATTCACGTGATTACGATATTTTCTCAACTGAAATTGCTATCCACAGAATCATATACAGACCAATTTTTAGTATTATTCTTTGGTGTAAAATCTACAATATTGATACTCAAAAATTGATAATTCTGATATTGGAAATATAATTAATTGTTCATTATTGATGTGCATCGAAAAATATTCTGCTGTAATTTGTTGACAGATGTAAAAATTGAGGGAAAAAGCTTAGCACTTGAAGACATGGATATGATACTTTTGATTTGATATTATCAAAAACAAGTATTGTGATGTGATGCGTGATAGAGAAAAAATAAAATAAAAAATGAATAGATTTGATTAACTTACTGATATGATTTGATATTTATTAAGTATGATGATGTATCAATTATAATCTTGAAAAATTGACTTGGACCTAGATAAAACGTTATTTTTCAAAGGAATAATTGAATTGAAGTGATGACTTTCTAAACGTATATTGATATTGTAAAAAGCTTTACTCCTTGATGAAATAAAAGACAAAAGTCAGATTTATCAAAGAAACCATAAAGAAATATTCTGTTTTGAGCCTGTAAATATGGATGTATATGCTGGATTGCTGGCACAGAAAATCCACTCCACAATCATATCGACCTAATCTTACAACATTCGATTATGTTACTCTTATTCGAAATTGTTGAATGCCTTATCAGTAAGACTTTTTGCACAAGTTATCCATGTTTTATTAGTAGTCAAATGCATGTTACCAAAAAATGATTCATGAAATACATGTCTAAGACAAATAAAACATTAAAAAAAATATATTATTTAAACTTGAGAATAATTATGTAGACTTTCATTCAATCTTTGTGTGAAAATTTATGAGAATTTGTAATCCTTAAAATATAACGCTAGTTTATACTAGGTTTCTATCTGTCAACATTATGAAAATTGAAAGGAATATAGCATTTTATAACTGTTCATTATTAATTGAAAGAATTGTAAATGAAAGAAGAAAAAGATTACTGAAAATAATCAGTTTATATGTATGACTGACGAAGGAAAGGGCACAAGAATAAGTCCTAATTGGCTATATTTCAATTTTTAGGGCTGAGTCAATTGATCAGATACGAAGGTTTTACAATATGTAATCATGTAAAGTGTATGGAAGTATTTATTTGGCACACGTTCAAATGATTATCAGACGTCGAAGTTTAATGATGTGTTGTAGCGTGAAGCGACAATGTTCTTATCGTTTTTGTTTTCAACTCCTCGTGTTAATAATAAAATTAAAATAAAACAATCCAACGAGAAATATTACGAACAAGTTTCAACAATAACGACTTCAGCTTTACCTTTTTTTCGAATTTAATTTATGCATCCGCGTAAGAATATACTTAGATATTTCTGTAGAAATGAATCAACAATGTTAATCTGTTGTCTGGATGAATGTGAGCAAAACCTTCAAACTATATTTGTTTTGTATAAACGAACATTCGAAAAAACATGCTACTGCAGCCAATAATTTCAACTATAAACATCAGCATATTAATCAGCAAAATCGTTTTTTATTTGATTTTTACAAGTCTTTTCATACAAGAGACAAGGCAGCCATAGAAATGTAATTTACTCGTGCAAAAGCTGAATCTTCTGACTTTACAGGCTTGAATACAAGTAAAAGTGCTGTTTTTTGGAATGTTAATGATTATGATTATTATGACAATTCAACCGGGAGCAAGCAAAAATTTTCCTGTAAGGGTTGAGGATACATTGCTTTCTCTTGCATCACGCAATAGCTAATATATGTTTTACTTTGTTTGTTGAAATAAATCAAACATGTACTATTATCAGTTTCTTTTCATTGGAAAATTTAAGTTTTGTAATGTATATTTGATCCTGAACAAAATATTTGTAAAGAGTCAAGTAGTGATTGAATAGCATTTCAATCAGACTCGATTTAAAGAGTTTGTGTCACACAATCATATCACAATCCGAAAGTACGTTACGAATTTTTTAGTGAGTATATATCAATTAGAAGTCGCGTTCATGAATCAGTACAGTACATTTAGCAGACATACAAATACTCGAAAATCAGCTGCCATAGTTAGCCTTTGTTTATATCGTATTTTTGTTTAACGTCCTATAACAGATAATAATCAACAGAAATCCAATCGAACTCGAATTTTGTCTCTACTCATAAAGACACATCAGCAGATTAGATTGATTGTGAATGTGTGTAAGAAGGATATCCTGACCGATGCTCAAACTCACACTACAGTCATAGTCAAAGATGTAATCAGATCATACCCATACATTTATAATAAATTGGAGCAAAGAAAAAACTGATCATCGAATTTCATAGAGATCAGTTAACTGGATATTCCGTAAAATTGATTCTAGTTCTACTGAAACCTAAGTAAAGTTACTAATGAAATTTTTTTTTTCTATTCCTATAATCAGTGAACAGTTTTTAATTATTACGGATTCCGATGTCAATAAGTTCGCTATCTTCGCAATGTATAGGTGCAGGCAATTAGCAGACACTCACTCACTCTCGGCATTCGAAGTAATCTAAATTTCAGCAAAGAACTAATACGAAAAATCTCTAAATAGGGAAGAAAAACAAAAAGAAAATATAGTAGCAATGCATCTATCTATTAAATGCCAATACGCTTTTATTATAATTTTTATTTTACTCACACAAGTTAAATATATCTATTACTTTAACATTAAATAATTCCTCATTTTATTTTTACAATCACATCGCTGATCTGATAGTTACTTTAATACTAAAATCTAAGTTTATTTGATTCACGAATAGTTTCTTCGTTTTTATTTTCTGTCTCTTTCTTAAGTTTTTATTGTTATTGGCAGCAAATAACTGTGGCTTGTGTTAATGAGCGTCACAATAAACTGCATTATTATTAGTGGTAGGATTCTGTTTAGCTGTTGCTTGTCGTTTTATACAAACAATACATTTAACGATCATTTTAAATAGGACTTCACCAAATTCAATTACACCAAGTATACTTAAACCAAGCCATCTAAAATCATAATTAAATACATTGAAGTAATCAATTGAAAAACAAAAGGACAACTCACATTCCTGTTTGACCACCAATAGAACTGAACAGATCAACGATCAATATTTTGGCTTTCTGATTGTAAACAACGACATAATGATTGCTACAGGCAATTGTCACTTTTAAAAGATTGTTACTGAGATATGTGTCCGATTTAAGAGCAAAATCATCGGGTAACAGAATACTAGAAGAATTCGATTTCTTATCTAATAGTCTTTTAGTTAACAATGCTTTCTGTTTCGCTGATGGATATGAAAGAGCACTCAATACAGCATGAAAATCAGTATTTTTGCACTCAGGAGTGCATTGTGGACACCAACTTTTGTAACCTACGTCTTGAGTTTTGAATTCTGGCACAGTCGTGAGCACACATTTTTCTTCAAAAGTATCTGGAATGCAAGTATTTGCTGCCTTAAGACTGTTGCTGTCGACAGACCAAACATTTCGTTGGAAAAAAGGAAACGGTAAAATACAAGAACAAAATAAATCAGCTATTAAGTTTAAACAAGACTCTTGACATAAACTTTCTGAATAAGTAATTTTGCCGATAGAATCCCTATCAAATGCTGTCTCAAAAATGTCGCGTAATTCATCTCCAACTGAAGATGTGCAATTGGTGTAAGGTTCAGGCAACAAATTTCTTTCGGTTTTTGAAAATAAGATTGTGTGAGAGAGACCTGGTTGAAGTCGAAGTCCACTATCAATAAGCAATGGAAATTCATTATTTTCGTGTATTGATACAATTAAACCTTCGTCAAAGTACGACACTGGATAATAAGATTCACGTGGAATATAAAATTGCATTGATAAACCTTCTAATCCAATGCTCAACGTACTCATGTTTCGAATTGTGAACAAATTCTTCATTTTACCATTCCAGTTAAATGTATAACAATTGCCGAATTGTGACGATAACGAATGAGTAAAGTATGAGGAACAGTCAATACCATTGTAAGAACAATTGATTAATATATCTGATAATCGAAACCCAAGATCGATTAATTCATTTCTTTGATTACGATTGAAAAGATCGACAATAAGCGGTTCAACTAATGTTTCTAGATCGACCGTAGTCTCATTGATTCCCATACGTTTAGCATAAGCCAATAGTGCTGCATGTGTTCTATCGTTTCTCAATGGATGAGAACTGCAAATAGTAGTAGCGTAACCAGAGGGGGGCAAGGGGGGGCTCAGCCCCCCCTACGAAAGGTTTTTCCCCCCCTAGAAAAATTTCTATCCCCTTTTATTAAAGAAAATTGCGTTTGATTTCTGTAATAATAGAAATCAACATACAGCTTATTCATAACAGCAGGCATCATCAACAATAAGAAGTCCAGAACTCGAAGGAAAATCCCTTGGAAAATGAATTTCTAATGCACATTTTTCTTGCATTTTTAAGAAGTTTTCGCTTCGCGACTTAGGTCTGTCCCATTAGTTTTCATTTTGATCAGTCTTCTCTCCATTTCGAATTAGCATTTGAAATATGATTCTTTTATCTGTGTGACTTAGGCAATGGGAAGCTTTGTATACGCCTCGCGTTTATCTTCCACTTTTAACACAGCGATTGAAAGCGTAGAGGACTTTAGTGGCTGAACATATATGAGTGCTATAATTTCGTTCTTGTCACTCCAGAAACGTGAGTTTTTATTTCATTGAACTATACAATATTTTAGTCAAACCGTTTTTATTCCGTTCCAAAAAGGTGCCGCCTTCGGCGGCATGCTCTCTTTGAATAAATAATAAACCAATGCTTTTTATACCGCTATTATCTCATTAGAAATCTTAGAGTCTAAGAAGAAACAAAATTTCTCACTGCGTGGTATTGTCCAAACCATAGTATAGAAAAGAACGGTGAGGAACAGTTTATATGGTATAAAACATTTTACTCTTCTTATATTTTGACGCCAGATATGTCTCTTGGAGGTATGGATGCACTAAACAGTAAGTAACGGGTAGGAGCAAAAGAAATTCTCGATATTTTCGATAAATTGTTTCGAAAAAGGGTGTTTGTAACAGGTAAATATGCGTTTTGTAGCACTTTCAATAGGATTTCGTATGTGCTATTCAATTTTTATACACGTCATACGAACTAAAAAAACTAGACAAAGAATTATGTTGTTTCGTTGTCTACAGTTGGGGAGGGGGGCTGAGCCCCCCCCTACGGATTTTTCCTGGTTACGCCCCTAGCAAATAGTCACAGCTGGAAAAATCATATTATATTCAGTTCGAATCTCCATATCAATTTGTGTTGGATAAGACAAGTATTGCAGTCCGGACGAAATAACAAAAAATAACATCCAACCAAAAGCAAACATAAAGCTACATATCCAAAGTATTCGATTTGGTGTACTGTAAGCATCAGCAATACATCGAAGTCCATGTGTTGTTGAACAGGTAAGATACCTGACAAAGATTGAACGGTAACTTTGTTCGATATATGAATCTTGTTTTGCTCGATTTGCCTCTGTGTTCATTCAGTCAACTGATTTGGCTACGTGTATAATTATACGTTGTAATTGCTTGTTTATTCGTTTGCAGCAATAAAAAGGATAAAATATGAAGAAAAACACTTGCACAGTACACGTGAAAGCGAGAAAAAAGAGAAAAGAAAAGAAAAGAATACAAATCAAAATATAATTATTATTTTTGGTGACCTGACAAAGTCTCCGTTATGGGTCTGTTATTCAGCATGTTACATAAACATTCACGCATAGTGCTTGGAGATATATAAAATTTGCTATGTATCAGACAAGCCAATTGAACAATGTTTTTATGTGTTTTTCAAGAACTTGTTTTATATTTTACTATTTTCTCATGTTTTCACAAACTGAATTTGTAAAAACATTTGTAGTATTCGACAAATCTAAAAGACAAATTGTTAATTCGAAGTAGATTTTTGTGTTAACTCGTGGTTTTTTATATTGGTCTTCTAGTTCTCAAGCTTAAACGATAAATTATTAAAATTTGAAAGCAGTAATAATAAAGAAACAATTCGTCATGACATTTTATTATAGCTAAATAAGAATATGGTGGATGTAGATTTCAATTTTGGATTCGACTAATGAAACTATATGCAGTTTAATCGAAGCGAGGGATATTATTATTTGAGAAGAAACACTGAGAAAAAAAACTCTGAATAGAAGAACATGAATAAGATTGATTGAAATTTTTGCTCAAGAGTATTGTTGCAACATCTTTATTAAAAAAAAACTATTTTGAAGTTTTATATTAAACATTCAAAGGACAAGATAAAATAACAATAATTGAAAGAAAACAATAAAGAGTATTTCCCTCATTATTTGTTAATAAAATACAAGGATAAACACCGTACTATATTACGACGTGCATGTAAATGCTTGTTGGTTATTTAGATTCGTCTGGATATTAGTACAATTCGTTGTGATGTTACGTATTCATAGCCAATAATCGAAGTGTGTCCTTCTTAATGATGAATTTTATAGTAAATGAAGCAGATGATTAATGAAGAAAAGATGTATTTAATTTAGTATATTGATAAGTGTTCAAATTTTATTAATCGATCTTCAAGTGCAATTTCATTCTTTTTCCAGTGAATATCTCTATGACTATGATAATGATATGTCCCATATTTCATATATATCACTACACTTCTCTCTAAAAGACAGACGCGTAACCAGGATTTTTATACCAAATGGGTAAGGTTTTGATTGATCGGCCAAAATGTTATTGCTCTAACAAAGTACTAATACCATAAATAAAAACATGTATAAGTTAATGCTGAGAATTATTTAAATATGTATCTGTGCAACACACATGAGCATTTTTCCTACGAACTAGATCATTTCATATCTTAGTTTTCTGCATTGTTTCCACATATACATCATTGGATTTTTCCGTTCTCTTCTATGCATCACTATATATGTATATATATCTACACATATATATGTTCGAGTATTCTCTTGATCTGTACTCTTGTTTCTCATCTCTTTGATCTATCCTTCTCTAACTTTACATGGTTAGTGTTTTCCTAATAGAATCAAACTCATATTCACTCAAAATTACAGTTAAAATCAGAGTTACTAGATTTTCTCTACAAAGTCAGGAAAGTTTCTGAAATTTGAATATTTTTTTGATCTTTTTCTGATTTTTTTTTGCCAAATTCCAAACATTTTTAGATGGTGACTTTACTAAAGAAATTAATTACAATTATAACTCGTTAGTATTATAGATTCGTATTATGCTTTCTTGTTTCCTCTCTTAATCTTTATTAGTTTCTGAGCGCTGCAGCCACTGACGAATTTCTTAATATATCAGTAAATTTTTGCCTTGTCGAACTTAAGAATGAATGCTAATTATTTTTTTGAATGATTACGTAAACATATTTTAGCTTCCAAAAATTTATTGAAGAAATTTTGAACATAGGAAAACTTGAAAAATAATATGGAATTGATGTTCTATAACTCTTATTATCTTTCGTAAGATTTTTTTTTTTGATCTGCATAATTTATATATATGATTTGTTTGTACATAATTTTCGTAAACAGAGTTTTGGGTCTCGTAAAAGAATCCGACACTATATGTCTTTTGCTAGTTTTTTTTGAATTAATTAACAATGGAAAGCCATGCAACTTTAAACTAAGGAAATTGGTCATAGTCAAATTAAATGAATGCTCTTACTCACAGATCAACCAGTTTAAAACATGTGGTGGTGATAGCGTACACGGACCAAGATGTTTAAGTTTCAAGATATTTACAGTTGGTTTTCTGCCTACATTATTACATTTCATTAATCCTTAGTTTTTTTTTCGTCATGATTAGATGAAACATGACTATTTACATAAGAAGAAACAATATCACACATATTAAAAAGCAATTTGGCTGTAATTACAATCTTCTGTTTACTACTTTTATAATTAAAAATATGTTGTTTTAGACTTCGTAGCATTTGCTTTTTAATATGCGTGATATTGTTTTCTCTCATGTAAATGGTCATGCTTCATCCTACCATGACAAAAAAGAAAACTAAACGTTGATGAAGTTTTGTATTGCGGACACATAAAAAACTGCAAATTTCTTGAAACTCGAATATCTCAGTCTGTGTACGCTAATGGCAACTCATATCTTTAATTAGTTGGTTTGATAGTGAGAGCATTCATTTGATCCGACTATGATCAATGTCCTTCGCTTATAGTACACCATATTTTACTCTAAGCTATATTATGTTTGTGTTGCCTTTCTTTACTATAAAATACTTTTGGAAATAAAGTATGAGTCGATAAACAAAAAAAAGTGAAGAATTGTGTGTATGTATGTCAACATGATAGTCATCGGTTTGCAAAAAATTACTCTTTCTCATTAGTTTCCGATTTCGAAGAAAAAATTCTGATTTTTAATTTTCCTGTCTGTTAAATCTAGTTAAAATATCAGAAGCGATTCTTTCCTTCTTCTGTTTTTAACTGTTCACAGAAATAACAAGCAAAATGTGCATATGTGATTCAGACGGAAGACAAAAAATAGAATTGTTATCTTGAGGTTGTGGATGTCTGGGTGAATGTGAATGTCGGTGTGAGATGTGAATATTCTCTTAATATCCACCCACACCTACACCCTTTTTTCATAAAGCACTTTTTATCGTATATTGTTCGATACAGTTGATTGGACCAATTGAGAGTATAACTTTAACTTAGTGAAACAATATGCCTTCTTTGCAAATATAGAAATTAAAGGATAAAACATTGATTTTTATGGGACAATGAATATGATAGAGTGTGATCATGAGGACGAGATCGTACTTTGGACAACGATGTATCATATCTAGAAGAATAGTCGAGAGCATTTACAAGTGAATAGATTTTGAACTCTTTTTAGGGTTTGTAACATGCAGCATGACTAATTTTCGAAATTAGTTTGAGTCCGGTGATCAATTTTCGTCTTTTCCGAGTATGTCTCAATCAAAATAATTTTTCTTAGAATGACGCCCATAAGGTGAATATTCATTTCTAAGAGTATTTCTTTTTAACTGCTTCTTTTCAGTTAGCTACAGAACTACTTTTACCTTTGAACAGCCAACTATCGGCAAATTTATCAACATGAATTTTCGTCAGTGCTCCATTTAATTTCTGGAAATTTTATGTAAGAGGAAAATAGATCAATCATCAATGTATTTATTTGCATATTTGAACATTGCAAAGGGATACACTACCGTTCATGTCCATTTGAAGTCTACTATGCACGCTCTGAATAGTGAAAGATAAGCAAGAAGGCAGTTTGCGATCCGTACAGAACGAGAAAATTAGTCCATACAGTAGCTAGCGAATATAGGAAAAAACATAGGTAAGCAATCAACTAATATGAATTCTTGCTTAAGATTAAATTTCATTGACTTGCCTATTTTTGCAAGATGATATTAGGGTGATAGGCGACAAAAGATATGAGGGATATAATAATAGAAAGAAGAGACAGAAGAAAACAGAGTTTTAAAAAATGAGGAGAAGAGACCGAAATAATCTCGTGAGAAAACAGTGAGTACGAGTAAGAATCGATTCTGCAAAGCAAAAAAGAAGACGATTGAGGTGGAGTGATAATTAACAGAAAGTAGTGAAAGAGAGATTTAGGAGAGCAATGATTCAGGGGTCAGACACACCAAAATTAAGGATGTAACACAGAGGTACCGATTACAAAAGAGATGATACATGGAGTACTGAAACGAAAGCAAAGAGAGTGAAACCCTTATGGTGACAGTGTAGACGAAGTGCTAATATCTGGATACGAACAAAAGAACTAACTCATAGAGGAGAAAGAGACACTAACAAAAATAAGTTAAACATTAATTAAAGGAGATCAGAGAGAGAGCTGCAAACAATACATAGAATATACGATGAAAAGAAGAATAGTCTATGCATCAACAAAAAAAAAAGATAAAAATGAAAAAGAGAGCAGAATATCAATTTACTTGATGAAACCTATGTAAGATGGTCAACTGTAACAGAGAACTCAGATTCAAAACAATTATTCATCAATCAACAGCATGTGCAATTATTGTTACCCTATGCAAGATTACTATGATATGGCAAGGCACAAAGTTACAATAACATTTGATCCTGTACAGTAGTGTCAAATATTTCTCTCCAATAGTACGTGCTTGATGTTCTCATAACAAAAAATGATGTATATCCATCAGGATATGGGAGGGTGTCATTGTATAGCATACATAAAAAACCCGCACCGTCATCCAGTCACCCAAAAATGCAACAACAAAGAAAGAAATGAATTTTTCTAATAATGAAAGATGTAATTGGCATGATGATAAGTCCTGCTGCTAATCGTATCTATAAATTACTTGAAGTCAATGATTCATCAAATAAAATCTGCATTTTTTATGAGAAAAGACAAGAAACTTCATACTACGAAAACGTTGTCCCATCCCATTCGAAGCTCTAGACACTATTCTTTATTTTTTACAAACTGTACTTTGTTGGTATTATTTATTAAATGAAATTGTCTAAGATATGATGCTCATCTGGAGTAATTCGCTTGTTAGTTAAGAAATTATTTGATATTTTTATTATTATTATTTATTATTATTCTTTTCTTCTTGGATATAAAAAAAGAACGATGTTGGCGAGCACGATTATACTATACGAAATAAGCACACAGCTATAAAGAGTTACAAACCGAGAATAACTATGACAACTTACCTGAAGCTGAATTTTTCTGGTAACGTCGAAAAAGATCTTAGAAGGAAATATAAAGAGAATATAGGAAGATGTGAGGGACAACAAGAAACATCATTGATCAAGTAATCATGATGGAATTTAGACGAACATTACTTCGTGTAGGTGCAGCAATCTCCTTGTCTGTGTTACAAAACTGTCAGCGAACGCATAGAATGAGTCTCACTTGTATACTGATTATTGAATGAGTCTCAATCGGAAGAGTACCGATTCAAAAATATAATTAGGTCTCTGCTGCTTACAATAATATTTGTTCATATCAGTCATATTCATCTAAGGAAAATATGTCATTTGTTGTTTCAGAAAATTTGAATAGCGATAAATCTAAAATGCATCAAATAATTAGCAAACAAAGATCTCATGAAGCAAATTTCTCAAGAACTCGAGTGAACTATGAGACAAGAATTTACGAGCATAGAGACCGTGAGAATTAGTATAGCATTCTTATGAATTCCAGTCTTACTACATCACATAAAATATCTACCCTAATTGCTTCACATTTATTAATCTTCTTGTTACCTTCATTATGCGGAGTTCATAGTCAACATGAGAATATGAAATTCATTTTCATAAGTTTCAGCGCAATACTAAAAATGTTTCGAACAAGACAATGAAGCATCACTTTAAATACAAGTAACTCTCGTCTGTGTGACTCGCTTGACCCTCGGCTGTATATTCAATCGTTTGATATTTTATAGTACTTTAAAGTCTTCAACATAGCTACTATCAAATCTTCCAGAAGCGTGGGTGGATGCGTGTATACTGGTATTAGCGTCAATCTCGTTGTGCACAATAGTATATAGATACGGGTGACCACTTTTGTCAGGAACACATGCAATCAGACTGACACCCTCACACTGATATCAACAAAAACCTAGAGAACTAAACTATGGCGACACGGCCCACATGTACCCGAACAAAAAGAGCTTATATTCAGTCTGCTGAGAGGCAATGTAACAATACACTTCCGCGACAGCTTTGTAAAATCGTGCTATACTCTTTAAAATTTCTACTATAAATCCATTCACTTACTAACTTGTGAACTAACGATATTGTTTACTAGCCAGGTAACTTGAAAATATCATTATACACGCAGATGCTTGAATTAATACAAAGAAAAGCATTTACAAAAAAGAAACGCTCTTGTATTTCATTCATGTCAACTGCCAATACAGCAAATATAAATTCTTTCAGTAATGTGTTTTGTGTGATGAATTATTCAGCCATTGTGTCTAAACACAAAAAAAAATTTCTCATCTTTGACTTTACATAGTTTTTTCAGCTTTTTGCATCTGATATTGCTTAATCAGACCCATTGAACCTCCATTATTGATTCTTATCAATGAATCCTAACACATTGAATCGGCTCTTCTAGAGATAAGTCAGTGTAGCAGCGAGTCGCTCGTCGGCGCTCCTCCGGAGCGCCAATCGCGACTAGATGCTGCTTAGTCTAATCAGATCTCTTCATGACATTATCCCTCTGTATTTAAATTATAGGTAGCCTAGGATTCACTTATCTTAAAAATTCGTCAGATCTGAAGCATTAGAACTATCAACAGAAATTATTGAACAGAACTTGTCAAATGAGTTATTCCTAATTTCCTCAATTTGATTGTATATCTGAGAAACAAGCCTCATCCATGGAAACCCAGTTATAAAACAGCTGATGAAAGGATAACTTATCACATACGTCGGATTAACTGAACTTTCAGCCTGAAAAATCGAATTGATGCAAAGCACAATATTAGAATCACGAACATCGAACACTTAGTCGACGGTTTTTTATGATGTTTCACCTTTCACTATGACAAAACAGACAAAAATTTCTTTTATTTCATATAATCCTTCCTACTCTCGAACAAATACTACTATTTTCTCAAAAAAAAACTTTCCCCTGAACCCGTAAAAATCAAATCAGAATTTTGAAAAACTGACCCCAGATTCGAATTCCCCGACCTCCATTTGCTTCCGTGAATCTTTATAAAATATCGTTATTACCTCAAAAAACCCTTCCCTTCACCCAAAAAACTCAATTCAAAATTTCCAGAAACTAACCTCAGATTCGAATTCCCCACCCTCGATTACCCTTCGGTTAAGCTTTATCCAAAACATTAATAAATAGCGAGTACTTAATAATTAATTAAAACTAACCTCAGATTTGAACTCCCCACCCTCGATTAACCTGTGGTCACGTTTTATGCACAAGCAGATGTTTTTTTGACCCGGATGTTCTTTTGACTGTGACACAAACAAACACACAAACCATTTTTTTTCATATGACCCTCCCTACAGTCGAGGGAATTACAAAACTATTCGTTAGATTTGCTACTTGAACACTTTATTGCTCACGCCACACACGCAGTTTCGGATTATAAAAAAGGTGTACGTCTCTTGTCGAATCTGTGAATCGCGTTCGAAGCGTATACATCGGTTCATTGTAATTGCCTTGCCAATGCAATTCAATATAAATGTCCATGTTACCAGTACTATCATTCACCGGTATTTTATGTTCGATAGATTCTTGACCTGTGAGCTGTTTGGATTCGTATTTCGATGCAGTTCCTTGTCGAATTCGTATTCTCGCTCTCGAAAAAAGCGTATATGGAATGTCTTGATCGACATCGAGACCCATTATCTTAATTCTTTGTTTTTGAATTGTAACACGCACTCGTCGATGAAGTTCCCAGTCGGGTATGGGAATGCCTAATTTAGCCATCAATCCTCGCATCAGATCGTCGCATAAGGCGTGAATATTGAGTTGAGCCAATGGAGCTGATGAAGTCAATTGTAAATTGCCGATAGCTAATTTACCACCACGTTCACTGACTCTTTGTGGAACATACGCTGCTGGTGGGACGCGTAAGGAAGAGCCTAATACGAGACATACATCGGCTTTCTCTGCATGTTCAAAACTTGCATCGAATTCTTGTTGTGAAAGACTCTCGCCAAAGTTAATGATCGAATCGTACAGTGTCGAACTGCATTTGGTACATTTACGAGTTGTCTGATGATCGTGATTTTTGACGGCCGTTCGTGTTTGAAAGTCACGAAAATATTTCATGTGACAGTTCTTGCATATTTCCAAATTCGAATTACCATGAACCTCGGATATCAATGACGATGGCAAGCCAGATCTTAGATGAAGACCGTCGATGTTTTGAGAAACAACAAAGTGAAGAAGATTCCGTCGAGCTAATTCAACAAGTGCCATATGTGTGACTGATGGAATTGCTTTTACTAAACTGACTGTACGAACCGCTGGAGAACGCTTTGCACCCGGATGATCACGAAGTTCCCACACACCTGGTCCAGTTGGTAGAATCGTATTCATACTGGATCGATAATCAGGAATACTATAAAGAAAGTTGAATAAATCATATTCGACACGATACTAGTGGCAAAAAAGGAAACACATCCTTATCTTTAACAATTAGCAAAAAGAATTCACAATTACATCATGAATTCTTATGGACGACATCTTAATTTAAATATCAGAGGTGGGATCGGTTGGCATTTTTGCCAAACCGAACCGACCGTAACCGAAAAAATCTCTAACCGAATCGAACGTAACCGACCGAATTTTTTAAAATTTCTAACCGAACCGACCGTAACCGAAAAAATCTCTAACCGAACCGAATATAACCGACCGAATATTTTAAAATTTCTGGCCGAACAGACCGTAGCCGACCGAATTTCAAAAATTTCGTAATCGAACCGAGTTTAGAGAAAGCGAAGTTTAGCTTATGTTAATTAGGGTATTAGTGCTATATAAATTAGCAACAACAAATCGAACAGTAGCAACTATGAGCAATCAACATCTAGAGAAAGTAACGAAGAAAGATTATTTATTGAATCCTCTTACTGTATTATAACTTTCTTACCTCTCACAACAAATTTAGAAAACATGTGAGATAATACGAGTTACGAACAACAGCTAATTGTTGTACGATTACACTCTCTTTTCTTCTTATGTCTCAAAAAGTCCATCGAACTCAAATCAAAAGATTATGTCGATTCTTTCTAACCGAACCGAACGTAACCGACCGAATTTTTTAAAATTTCTAACCGAACCGATCGTAACCGAAAAAATCCGTAATCGGACCGAATGTAACCGACCGAACTTTTTAAAAATCTCGAATCGAACCGATTTCGGTTACGGTCGGTCGGTTCGGTGCGGTTAAAAACCGAACCGGTCCCATCTCTGTTAAATATTCATTCCAGAAAGGATCAAAATCCTCGGCATATGAAATTAAGCAAAGGATTTCTATAGTCTCTCTCTCCCCCCTTCTTCTCAGCAAAACCTTGCTGTAGGAATGTACAGAAAAATTTTCAGGAAGAGATTTAAACCTATTTAACTCATTCCTTCTGAGTGTTCGGTACGAGCCTACCATGAGTCGCACTCACCCTGTAGATGTTGACACACCTGCACCTAGAATAATCACAATTTTAAAAAAGACATTCCGTTATTCGAAACTTTTCTTCGACTTACCAGTAAACACGATAAAATGCTTTGCATTACGAATCCACTCGGCCAATTGGTCAAGTTTTTGATCAAGAACGTCAGGTGGATCGATAATTTCTTTTTTTGTGGGATCTTCGTCTGGTATCCCATATGCCATATCGTACTAATTTGATTCGACTATTTTTCGACCGACAACAATCTGAAATCGTTTCAATTAATATATATATATATATCTCTACCCTTAGCTGCGTGTATGCATCGACGTAGAGTTGGCAACAATTCAAACAAAAGAGTTTGTGCAACAATAATGTTGTCGCTGGTTACATGCGTCACTGACGATTGTTGATTTGGGATTGAAAGCAAAAACTACAGAACCAGAAAAAGAATTTTCGCAAAAGAAACACATGTTTTTTTTCCTGTTCGGAGTTGATTTGAAAAACGCGGCCTTATTTTTTTTTACAATACTTTTAGATTGGAAAGGACGCTTTTTGTTATATTAAAATAAAAAGACACAATGATGTTAAATGTCGTTGCTCGTCGAATTGACTTCGTATCAAACCTCGTCTTTCCCTATGTTCTTTCAATAGGGAACCTTGTGAACCTCCTCTTAGGATATCGAACCATCTGGATCTTTTACCTCCAATTTCAATGCATGCTCTTCGATTTCTCAACCACACTTCGATCCATCGCAAATATGCCATTGGAATAAACCCCTTCCCATATTAGAAGCCCCCCGGGGCTTCTATTTGGCCTTGCAAACTTTGGTCGGATTTTGCTGAGAAAAACTGAAAATTTTGCTGGAGAGATCCTTTCAAGGGAGCTTCTAATAGGGAGAGGGCTTCTAATATGGGAGGGGCTTCTATTACGGAGGGGGTTTACCCATCCTTTTCAACTTCCCAAGGCAGCCTTCGAACCAAAGCTGGTCGAAAGCTGCCTTGAAATCAAAAAATACCGTTGCAACTGGTGAGCCATTGGCCATCAAGCTTTGAACCTGATCGAAGAAGAGAAGAACACGAGTTTGGAGCCGAAAGTCAGCACGAAAACCACTCTGAGAATCAGGAAGGAGCCCACGCTTTTTCAACATATCTGAGAACCGAGTAACAAACAGTTTTTCGTCAACCTTCAAGAAGACGTCCAGCAGTGAGATTGGACGTGTAATGTTAGGCGAACAAATGGCTTCCTTCTTCGCCAACAATAACACCCTTGTATCTTTCCATTGTCTTGGTACAACTCCTTCTGAGAACGAGAGATTGAAAACCCTAGTGAGAAGTGACCAGTACGGAAGTGGAAGGGACTCGAACATAAAATTTGACAAACCATGTGCATCACAAGACATTTTCGGGTGAAATATCTATTCCTTGTGCTGTGCGTTGGACAACTAACTGGCGGTGTCTCTCACGAGTAAGACTATCATCTCTTCTAATATGTTTTCCAGAGAATTGACGTCTATTGTCGATCATTTTGGGCTCGATTAGAAAGCCATAGTGATTGAATCTAGGAGATTCTAAGATATCATGAGTATGATAGAATTGGACTGTTTTTCAGTGTTTGAGTTTTACTTCCGATCAACTATCGTCGAGGCTTTATTTTGAGAAGGAAGAGTCTTTTTACCAGTTTGTAGATTTCGACGAGTTGATGACCATAGAAATAATGAGTGACTGAAAGGCTGTGTGTTCATGAGCTGAAATTTAAAGGTGACATTCGAAATCTACTCGATGAGCTCTAGCCAAACATGTGTGTTTCGATGAAATCTATTTATTTTCTATTCTTTCGAATTTCCGGCACCTTACATTCATCTGATTTGTGTCACAGCTTGGAGAAAGAAAACCATGATAAGTTGATAACAACGCTCGCGAATGTGTCCAAACTTTTATCGTACCTAGAGGATCACGTATTGCATTTATGAAAAAATTATCACCTTGATCGGTGCTTGTATCAGAGAGCAATGGAAATTGTAAATTTTATCCCAGTTGACACTATTCCCGAAATAATTTTTAAACATTTCAACTTTTCTACTCTGGAAAGGGTGTTCTTTCTCATAATTGAATAGCATGTCCGTATTTTACACCTGTAAGGCATGAATTGAAGCCTTCGTAGTCAATTTTTAGGCAAAAAGCGCCGAACGTTTTCGGAGTTTTTGTGTCATCAAGTTTTCTCAAAAAACTTCCTACAAGTTTTTTTTTGTAACAAGCTGCATACATATGAATCATGAAAACGCTTAATGTTTTCGCGTATGAACCAAGCCACGTTTTCAACAGTACCGGGGTTTAGCACTAAAAATGATCGGATAATTGTAACATAGGTACCATCTCTCTTCGAAATGTTTGACAGAAAAGATACCGACAAAATATTACTT